TATATATATATATATATATATAATGGTCATCATATCACACGATGTCGGCTACGCTCGAGAGCTCTGCTAGGGCTTCCAATGGCCTTTTCGGTCACAATTGATTCTATCGCTGGAAGAGAAGATATCGCATCGTTAACCCTCGCTTCGGCGTCTGCATCTACGTCGATGTCGACATTTGCACTCCCTGTCGCGGCTCGCGTCGCGATATCCACTGTTCGTCTTCTTCCTGTCGCTATCGTTCTCTGCTCGACTTGGACGTTTGCACCTCTGTTCGACGTCGTCGTCTTCCACGCCTCTGTCACTCGCAGCTGTTGAGTGCGCCCGATTCTTCTGTTTCAGCATTGCTCCTGCTTCTGCTCCTGACAGCTCCTCTGCCTTTCGGCAACCTCACAGCAGTTTAACGCCAACAGTCTCTGATGGCGTTTCCTTCTTCTTTGGTTGAGCCGGACAAAGTCTCCTTTGCCCGCATGGTGGGTAACCCTCAGGAGGAGTCCGCAGTGGTATTCCCCTCAAGTTATAAGGAATGTCGTGAGGGTACAGATGATCTTTTTTTGGGACTCCCTCCTATGGATGTTATCAAAAAGAGTGTTGATGATCTTAAGCTAGTAGGCAAGTGGAAAGTGGGACTCATGGATGAGAGACATGTGTTGATTCAACTAACAGTGGCTGAAGACTACACCCGAATTTTCTCCAAGAAATATCTTAATATCGAAGACAAATCAATGAAGTTACTCAAGTGGTCTCCTAATTTTGACCCAAAGCTTGAAACTCACACTATACCGGTATGATTTAGTTTACCTGGTCTCAAGCTGCATTTTTTTCACCATCAGGTTATATATTCTATTGAGGTCATCCTTGGGGATTCTTTGAAACTAGATCTGACTGCTTTCAACCAACCAGACTCTCGGTGGCCAGAATACTTGTGGAAATGGATATTACTTTACCTGATGTTACGGAAGTCTGGCTGGGCACAACCCATAATGGTTATTGGCAACAAATCATCAATGAACACAAAATGGAACACAAACCGTCATATTGTATTCACTGTAAGATGTTTGGTCATACCATTGATAAATGCCACAAGCTTCATCCTATTTTGAAATCTAAGGTTCAAGTGAATGAGGGGTCTAACCCAACTGCTGTGGACATTTTAATTCCACTTGAGGAGGATATTACCAGACAGGAAGTGTCTGCTGCCCCTGAGGACCCCCCTGACACTGTTGTTACTGTTACTGCGAGTGATGCGATGCTGACACCTACAAACTCCATAGAAAACAATACTGATGGACTATTACCTATAAATGATAGTGTTCAAACTGATAATCAGAAAACCTCGCAGCTCTACTTCTTCAATAAGTATCCGGTGTAGAGGCAACTCATGTTTCACATATTCTAGAACCTATTGTGGGTACTATTTTTGGTATTCCTTCTGCTTCAAATCTACCCCATCAGACTGATTCTTTGGAAGAGGAATGACAAGTTTATACTTCCAGGAGAAAGAAGAAGAATGGAGATCTACTAGAGCTCAGAAGTCTTATGAGTGAGACTTTGGTTACTACGGGTAATGGTCAACACTTTACGAATCTGCTAGCTTGATCCCTACCGAGAACTAGAATCAGATACAAGACTAGATTAGGATGACCCACACATTTTCAGCGCTCGGGTGGTTTTTGGGTTTTTTTAATTTTTATAGGTACTCATCTTTTACATTTTTTGTGTGATGTATCGTGTGGGTTGAGTATTTAGGCCTACCCATACAAATCTATCTGTATCTTTTTCATTAAAATAAATATATAAATATATATATATATATATATATATATATATATATATATATATAGATGCCAGAAGAGAAACCTAATCGATTACGAAAAAAAACAATTATTATTACTGAATTCAAAAGGGTACAAACGAGACTTGCGACATGAAATCAGGACAACAAATAACAACTCAAGCATAAAGACACAAACAACAACTCCAATAAGGGTGACGGTAGCAGTGGAGATTTTGGTTGCAGCAGGGAGCAAGAACTAGGGCTAGTGGTAGGAAAACAAGGGAAGGGAGGCATATTTGACTAGAGGGAAGGAAGAGCAGCAAGCAGACGAATACTGGAAGGAGTTGGGGTCGACTGCTAGGATGCTGGAGGTGAGTCAGAGGGGAACAACAAGTTGGCAGCCTGTGGGAAGGTCTGTAAAAGAGCTGGCGGCTTGCTAAAGGTGAGTTAGAGGGAGGGCAGCAAGTTGGCAACTGCTGGACAGCGTGGGAGAGGGGGCTGCAGAAAGATAAATGTCTCGTTGAGGTCGAGCTATAGCCGGAGCACCACACTGACCCTTGGAGACGATCACCACATCGGATAAGTTACAGCCTGAGCACCTTCTTGCCGTTGGATACAGACCCTGGAGCGGAAGAATGCCTCAAAGGCAATAACTGAGATCAACAAACAACACCTATATAAAGAGAGGATTAATAGTTAAAATAGGTAAAGAGTAGGATAGTAAAGAGATATAATAGGCAAGGAGAGGAATATGAAAGAAGTAAATAAGGAAAAGAATTACAATGGAAAAGCATCAGGAAAGGAAAGGAAAGGAAAGGAAATGAATTAGTTAGGGAAGGGCCACCACAATCATTGTAGCAGCTACAATAATGCGCTGTAGCAACTATAATAACACGCTTGCGATACTGTAGCAACTACAGTACCCTGGGCGATAAGCTCTCACGTCAATATCCCATGATTGGGGAGCTTCAACTTTATCCGTAGAAGTTTTTAGAGCAGAAAAATTTTGGAAGGCGATGGCTTGGGTGGTAACGGATGTTAGGGTTGGGCTAGCTCTGATACCAAATAATATCTAATGAGAAAAACCCATTCCAGCACGAATTATACAACTATTATTTCTGAATTCAAAAGAGTACAAACGTGACTCTTGCAATATGAAATCACAAGAACAAACAACAACACAAACATAAAGACACAACACATGGACTTCAATAAGGGTGACGATAGTAGGTGGTATGTTGTCTCCAACAGCGAGAGGGAACTATGGCCGGTGGTAAGGAAGCAGGAGAAGGGACAGTAGGTTTGACTGTAAGGAAGGGGGAGCAAAAAGCTGACGACTGCTAGAAGGCATAGGGGTCAACTGGCGGGATGCTGGAGGCGCGTCAGAGGGGAACAACAAGCTGGCGGCTTGTTGGAAGGTGTGCAAAAAGGATGGCTCTGCTAAAGGTGAGTTGGAGGGAGTGCAACAAGCCGCGACTGTTGGACTACGTGGGGGAGGGGGTTGTTAAAAGATAAATGTCTCATGAAGGTCAAGCTACAGTTGGAGCACAACCCGGACCCTTGGAGACGGTCACCACCTCGGACGAGTTACAAAGCACTTAATCGCCGTCAGATACAATTCTCAGAGGGTAAAAAAGCCTCAAAGGCACTAGTGAAAAATAATCATCCAAAAATCTCCTCTAGCCTCATAAAACAACACCTATATAAAGTGGGGATTAGTAGATAAAATAGGTAAAAAGTGGGATAAGAAAGAGATTTACTTACTTACAGGTGTGAGGATCTATGAGCGAAAGCTAGGATTTTCCTCATAGCTAAAGACAGACGAGGGGGTAGATGAAGTGAGAAGGGTCGAGAACACAAAAGGATACTTTCGTGTATAAAAACAATGCGTAGAGGGGCGGCATCATGTGATGCTTCAATGTTGGGATTGGAGGGATATTAAGTCAAGATAATCTTTCAATGGCCTTCTTTAGTGAAAAATAAAATGATGCTAGACAACACTATTCTACATATGATATAAAATTTTATGCTATTATTCAAACTCTCGAAAATTTGAGACCTTACTTATTACATGATGTTGAAAGTTTTCTTTTGAGATTGAGTTTTAATACGTGTGGAGAGCTCTACATGAGGGAGTTTTTTAAGGCATGTGAAAGTTTTGGGTTTCAGAAATGGTTGAAAATTGATGTTACAGAAATGCAAGTGGTTAGCTTTCCTTGGGTTTAAAAGGGGTATGACCTTCATAGTTGACCCCAACTTTGATTTGTTTCTCCCAAATGCCTTACATATTTGGTCAAGCTTGTGGGTAGTTGCATGTTCATCTACTAGTATATTGGGCTCAAGCTAGGTTTTTGGGGTTCCACCCTCCTAAAACTTACGAGAGCTATGGATGGTTTATGGTACATTAAGTTAACGGTATAAGATTTTTTAGGTCCGTTTTGATACTGTGGTTATTTTGCACATTAAAATTTTATTAACAATTTTTAAACAATATAAACATCTGAAATTGATTTTTCATTTTAACTTTGTGTGAATCCTATTTTATCCAACATGCCTTGATGACGCTTTATCCTTGGATTTTCTTTTTTTCCCTTTGTTTTTAAAGAATGCAGGGCCTTTCTACGAATGGGTTGGAGCTGGATTAACTAGTGTCAAGATTGCAGGGTTAGATAATGGAACGATAGATTTGTCTTCAAATACGTGGAAGCACAAGGTACTTTTAGGAATCATATCCTTTGAAATCTTATTCAGTATTAATTTTGAGGTCAATGATACTTGAAATTTTTGTGCGCTTCTAAGTATATTAGTGGTTTGAATCTTGGTCTAGCTTGTAGAAGGAAATGTGCTTGTTTAATCCTTCTTATTTTTTCTTAATAAGCATTACACTTTAATACTTATATAAAATCTATTATATTTCTAGAAAGATTTTAGTTTTTAGATACATTTATAATACTTTTGGAATTGTGCTTTCTTATCTTTTTCTTTTTTTCTTTCCTTTTCTTTGGGTTCTTTATTGGAAGTGTTATAACATTCACTATTTGCAGTTTATCGCAAAAATCTCAAAATTCACAACAAAATTATCATCTTACATTTTCAATGCTTAACCAAATTCTCAATTATTTTTTATCGCAATATGTGCAAAGATATGAATTTGAATGTGTTTTTTTTTCTTACTAGGTTGGTACTTTTTTAAATAGTTTCGATTTCGGTGCTATTCATGTAATTCTCCATTATTTTAATCACAGTTTCATAGTATTTGGCATGAAAGTTACTGTTATTTGTCAGATGGTTTGGATGTATTTTTGTCTGTGGATGAATTACTTTCTTCTCATGGCTTTTTGGTAATTTGCGCTCAGGAATGGCACCAACTGATTATATTTTGTCTCCTTTAAAAAAAAGAAATGAATAAATAAAATAAAACTGTTTATATTATGTGTCATTGAATTTTATGGATCAATTTCTGTTAGCTTGAAGTTCTTATTTTGTTGGTAGTTTGTGGATTGAACACCATTCAACATTGCTAGAATTGCCCTCGGCAGAAAATATGCTTAGGGTTCCATTCGGATATAGATTATAACATTTCTTCTTATCCTTGTTCTTAGTTTGGCATCATTTAAGACAATCTTATTTCAATTTTTTTTGGTGATGCCAGCATTTTGCAGCCCTTTCGAAGAAGGTACCTAATTTCTATTGGATGACAGCTTTCAAAATAATTGCAATAGCATAAAGTGCGATATAATGTCTCCACTAGTGCGGGTTGTTTTCTTTCTAATTAAGCCCTTAATTATTCACAAAAAAAGCTTTGGATGAATCCTTGAAACCTTGTTAGTACATATTAATAATGCTCTGCTACTTTATCCTTCGATTTATCCTCAACATAAATAAAGAACATATTAAGAAGCATTATTTGGCCCTAAATTTTGTTGCACAAAACAAAAGATTTTATGCTTGTTCATAAAAATACTTCTAATCTCTAAAATTAAGTTGTTACAATAATTTATAACCCGTCAAGCATTGTCTAAACATTCTTCGTGATAGCTTATAATTTTGCTTCAATTTAATGCAACTTTTATACCTCAATGTGTTGTGGAGAGAAAAGGATTACTTGACTTTTCAGCTGCGCACCCAACCTTGTAGACCCTTATGGTTTAAAATTGCCTAATATGATGCATGTTTTTACTTTGTATTTTGAAAAGTTCACAACGTGGCTACGGTTAATTAGGTATTATAAGAGGTTTATACCTCACATTATATGAGACCCAGCGCAAAGAGCACCTTATCTTTAGTTCTAATAAGCTGTACACAATTAGATCTATGTTTTTTTAAAATAAATATAAGTAAAATAATCCTAATAGTATTTCTAACTTATCTACATAATACACAACTAAAGATGTAATTGAAATTGTTACTCTCAACATAATCATTTTTTAATTCCATAATTATTTTATTAATTAATAGTAATTAAATAAGGGGAAGGTGATTGAGATTTAAAATATGGAAAAATGACGGAACATTGATATAATTGGGCATAATGTGAAGGAAAAAATAAATCGATGATTTTAGTGAAGATTTGTTAAGTAATAAGAGTGATGCAAGTTTTGAGTAGAAATTTTAATTTTAATATCTTGTTATGTTTTTACTTTCATATATGTTAGTAGGAGTGTCATAAAGATTAATTATATTCAACTTATTTTGAATTGCTATATTATTTATCTTATTTTAATGTTTGTCTAGTCCTTTTTATTTTATGATTTGATTATTGAATGCTAACATATTACTTCTTAATTTGAATAATTTATTATTTTTATCATATTAAGATGTTATTATATCACATTTTAACTTATTAATAGTTTGAGATATTAATATTTTATTTTTTACTTCCCTTTTTTTTGTTCTTCAATTGAAAGTATATGTTACATATTCAAATACATTCTCATCTCTATAGATTAGGAATATTTCTAACATATAAAAGATTTTATAATTAGATGTCCTTTAATTAGTTACCTAATATATGCGCTTCCTAATATACAACCATTATATTTAATATTTTTGTAACACTCACTCTCAAGCTAGAGCATAGATATTTATCATGCTTAGATTTTTACAAATATAACTAGCTCTAGCTCAGTTAAGGGTCTTTGTGAGTATGTCACCTCGTTGTTTTCCAGTTTTAACTTTAGTTGTAGAAATCACTTTTTGTTCAATCTTTTCAGGAACAAAATGATAATTCGTTCATAGAAGATAGGGTTTGAAGCAATCTGAATTGCAACTTGGTTATCACATTACAACTATGCTAGAACTGTCATCTTAGAACCCATTTCTGTCGAGAATTGGGAGACCCACATCAATTCATTTAAATCTTGTGTCATTACTTAATACTCAAATTCTGCACTGAATCATGACACTATATTTTGTTTCTTATTCTTCCATGAAACCAACTTACCACCAACAAAAAGCATAATATCCAGTAATGGATATTCTATCAATCCTGGAACTTACCTAATTTGCATCAGAAAAATATTCAACATTTATGTCTATAATTCAGATATAGACTCCGTTTTTCAGGAGCTACTTTAAGATAACATAGTACCTGTTTTTGATCTGACCAATGATGGATTTTGGGGGAGGACATGAACTGATTTACAATACTAACTGAATACGTAATGTCAAGGCGAGTCACTGCGAGTTAATTTTATTCTCAATAACTTTCTATATCATTCACGATTATTAAAAGTGTCACAATTCTTGTTAAGTTATTGATTAGAAAACATCTGAGTGTTGCATGATTTGATTCCAATTTTTTCCGTTTCTGCTAACAAATCTAAAAGCATATTTTTCTACTAACAAGTCTAAAGCATATTTCCATTAAGATAGAAAGATATCCTTGCTCTTTGATACCTCAATCCCCAAGAAGTGCTTCAAGGAACCCAAATCTTTAGTGTTGAACTGATTTTAAAGAAATGATTTCAATTATAAAATTTCCTCTACATTGCTTCTAGTAATAATAATGTCTTCAACAGACATTACCAACATAATGATCCCAGAAGCAGATTGCTTTTAGAATACATTGTGATCACTTTTACTCTTGTGCATCCCAAACTCTTATACTATTTAACTAAATCTTTCAAATCATGTCCGAGGTCTTTGCTTCAATCCATATAGTGACTTCCAAAGATGACATACTTTCTCAAACTTCTGATGAGTAACAAATCTGGGATGTTGCTTCATGTATACCTCTTCTAAAAGGTCACTATGCAGAAATGCATTCTTTACATCAAGCTGGTACAAGGGCCAATTATTCATTGCAACCAATGATAGGAAGAGGTAAACCAAACTCAACTTAGCTACTGTAGAAAGTGTCCATGTAGTCAATCCCATAATTTTGAGCATAGCCCTTAGCAACCAATCCAAATTGGAGATGATCCATCATAATTTAACTTAACTACAAAGGCCCATTAACATCCAATAGCCTTCTTGTTAGAAGGTAGTTCAACTAGTTCCCAAGTTCCATTTTCAGTTAAGGCATTCATTTCATTAAACATCACTGCTTGCCACCCAGAATGGGATAGGGCTTATTGAGTAGATCTCAAGATCTTAGCATAGTCAAGACAAGCAATAAAGAGAAGTAGAAGACAACTGATAATAGTTAAAATTAGAGGAAATGTGATAGACACGTTGACATTTACTCTTTCGAATAGAAATATTTAGATTAAAGTCATTAGGAGAAGGATCCACTGAAGAAGAAGATATCCGTGACGGACTAGGATCAGGGGGACGAGGTGTTCTCGAGTATACATTGGTGATAATTGGTTTAGGCCGAGGCACTAGTGATAGAGTGGAGCCGAAGTATTGATGTGATATATTAACAACTCATCCTAATCTTGCGAGGATTTAGGCAATGATGAGTTATCAAAGAATGGAGTTTGTTCATAAAAGATGACATCAGTAGATACCATCTACGTATTTAATTAAGGGGGAAAAATCGATGCTCTTTTGTAAACGTGGGTATTCTAAAAGACAGTTTAATGACTTGGGGTTCAGTTAAGAAATCTGCAATCGAGTACAAAAATAAAACAAGTAGACCCAAATATGCATGGTTAAATGGGAAAGAAAGAGTTGGTTGGAAATAGAACTTGATAGGGTATTTGGTTCTATAAAATAGTCGAAAACATTCGATTGATAAAAAACATACAATAAAAACTGCATAAACCTAGAACCGTTTAGGTACATTAGTTTGAAACAAAAGAACTCTAGCGTTCTTAAGAAGATATATATTTTTCCTTTTTGGTACTCCATTTTGGGATGGAGTATCGGCCCAGGATGACTAGTGCAGTTTTGTGTCCTGTATGTCTGAAAATGTGCTGAGAAATATTCTTTGGCATTGTCACTTCTTAGAATCTTAATATAAACATTGAATTGAGTTTTAATTTCAACACAAAAAGATTGAAAATGTGACAATAATTCAAAGCAAGATTTCATTAAGTAAAACCAAGTCATAAGAGAAAAATCATCCATAAAAGTGGCAAAATATCGAAATCTATTAGATAAAACAGGAAAAGATCTCCATATATCAAAATAAACAAAGTCAAAATTATGACTAATTCCTCTATTAATACTAGGAACAAAAGGCAAATGAAGAAAATAGACACGACTCGCGAGCTAAAGAAGATAATTGTTGAAACTGAGGGTAAAAATTTTTTAGCATTGAGTGATGAATGATGCCCTAATCGACAATGGACCTCAAACAGAGATAAGGTCTGAAACATGCTGTGCTGAGATAGTTTGATATCGAAAATGCATATAGTCCCCTTCATTCTCATCCTTTATTAATAATTTTTTTCATCATAAGGTCATGAAGATAACAATGGCCAATGAAGAATAAAATACAACAATTAAGAGCATTTGTAATCTTGCCAACAATGATAAGAAGAAAAGATAATTGAGGTAAACTAAGGACGGATGTTAAAGATAGTGTTGGTGTAACATTAATGTTTTTTATACCAAGAACATTAGAAGTAGATTCATCCACTAAGGTGATGGAAGAAAGTATGAAAGTGAAAAAGAGTTTTGGATTATTAATGTGATCTATTGCTCCAAAATCAATGACCTATTGTGTGGAAGATAAATGAAGACAAGTTTCATTATTACCTGACTCAGCAAGAGTTATGATGAAGGGAGATTTCTTGGATGCTTCCTAAAATTGGAAGAATTTAAGCATATTCATCTGCATATATTGAAATTATTTGACTTGGAGGCTTATTAATAGTGACCATGTGGAACTCTTCTTATTCCTTTTGAGCAACCTCTGACTTTTTTTCTTAGTACGTTTAGGTTTATGGCAGTAATAACACGCTACCGTCGAGCCTTGATTTCTAGAATTTAGAGTTCTACTTCCATAATTGCCCTGAGACTGAGGTTTTCTTATGCCTTTATTTTTCTGGCTAGTAAAAGCACTAGGCTATTGTAGGAATGAAGCTTGAGAACTTGGAATAGTACACAACACTTTAGTATAGGGTTCCTTCAAAGTAGTAACTCTAGGGCCAGGTAGGATCTGTGATTTGACATCTTCATGCCGTGAATTAAGGCTAGCTATAAAACCCATAATAGTCATTTGTTCCCTTTGAACCTGTTGAATCCGGATATCATTTCTAAAACGCAATAATGCATTCAATTCTTCATAAACACATTTAAAGTGCATTTGATTTGTGTTGAGTGATTGATCTTATTGTTCAACTCGATAGAACTCCTTGCATATATAAAAAAATTCGAGATATATATTCTCTCCTAGAAAACACAAATGACAGTTTCTACATCGCATCCTTACATGGTTACAATGAGTAATATGACCAAATCAATCAAATTTGATAGAGTTCCATATTTGTTTCAACAAAGGAGCATCAACTCTCATCCACTCAGAATATTTCGAATTAGACTCAACTGTGGGATTGATTTTGTGGCGAGTCTCTTGAGAAATAAAGTAGAGTCTCACAATTTTATTTCAATAAAAATAATTGTATTTAACTTTTCATCCCTGCTTTTAGCCACTAATGAAATCAAATTTTTTACAACGTATTTTTATTCAACAACTATGATTATCACCAAATATTCAAGGAGACTGAATCAGTACTGAAAGTAACGAGCAGAGGAACGCCAAAGCTAATGATTTTGAGCCGTAGGAGAACAAATCCACGAACAATGAAGCTAACAATGCTGACGAAGCCGAATGAAACAGCTGATGAGGTGGCCTAAGCAGATGAAGTTGGAGGCAATGAAGCCGAATGAGGTAGATGATGCTGATCAAGATGAAGATGAAGAAGACCCCGACAAAATGATACAGAATGCAGTGATCGACATAAACAAAATAGATGAAGACAATAACTCAAACAAAGCCGAATGATGCATGATAGAGTGCACGAGCGATTTTGATGAGGTAGACGAGCAATCCAAAAGCGTGATTCAGACAACACAGATGAAGTTGACGAACGAACAAGCAATCTGGATAAGGCAGACAAATGATTCAGATGCACGATTCAAACGAACGAGCGATCCAGACGAATGACCCTAATGCATGATTCAAATGAACAGATGATCCAAATAAGGCAGACGAACAATCCAGACGACGTAGACGATGCCGACAAACGAATCCAATGACAGAGACGATGCTTTGATACCATGTAATGGGAAAGCTATATTTCTTCTTATTTCTCAATTGAAAGCATGTATTTATATGCACTCTTATCTCTATAGATTATGAATATTTATAGTATAAGAATGATCCTATAATTAGATCTTTTTAATTAGGTGCATGATATCAAACTTCCTAATTGCACGCTTTTTGATATGCAACCATTAGATTTATTACTTTCCAAGTCCTAATTGCACACTTTTGATATGCAACCATTAAATTTAAAACCTAACTTAGTTAATTCTTTGAATAAGTCTAAACAAGATTTTGTTTAGAATCTTTCATGATAGAAATATCATCTCGGATGCATTATCAAAGCTTTTTAAGGAGATTCCTTTTCCTCAATAGGACTCAATTGCTAATTGTAAAGTTCTCGCTCCTATAGAATTTGAAGTGATATGCTTAAGGAGTTTATTCTTGTTGTAAATTATGTTTGAGTTTGATTGAAAGTGATTCTTTGAATATTTGCAATATGGTGAACCCTCTCAAGAGAAATCCATTGCTTATTATATCAGGAAAAGAGCATTTTCATTTGTATTGTTATAATAATACTTCGTACAAATCATTTCATCAGATGTGATTCCATTGTCCTGGAAAAAAGTTCACAAAATAATGAATGAGGTATATTTCATATTTTGGAGCTCGCCATTCCTTACCAGAAATAAAAATCACAATTAAAGGACTTGGACATAATATTTTGTATCCAACAATGTCTTCTTGACCATTTGGAAAATTGGGTATGGATAATGTTAGATTTATTGATCCTTTTTCCTGTAAAGGCCATAAAATAGGCAATAAATTATCTAAATGATGATTTATTATTTCTCTAAGCGGTGGAAGCTCTACTATTGTGTGAATTTAATGATCAACATTTTTTCTATTTTATGGAGGATAATATCATGTATCATGTTGGCATGCTCATCAAAATCATTTTGCATCAATGAGTCAATACCTTGGGCTAATGGATTGGCTAGGGCCATTAATAAAACATCGGTACAATAATTAAAAATTGTTGAATGGCATGAAAATTTGGTCATCCATATCACGTCACAGTTCACTTTGCTTGTCTTGTTTTGTGGGTTTGAAGCTATTTTCTCCTTGGACTGATGGCTTATATCAATTATGAAATAACCATATGATAGAATGCCTAACTTAAGTTGGAAGGACTTGATGGTCTTGAAGAGAAGCGCTTGCAGTCTAAGCACCTTTTGTTATGTAGATGACATATGGCTCAAGCTTATGATGAATTAGTCTGTTCTTGAAACTTCGAAGTTGGACAATTAATTCCAACGATGGGAGGCAGGTTTGAGCTTTCAATGGAAGGCCCTTTTGTGAGCAGGCTTTTATGTGATAAGGGCATTGATCTGTTTCGCCTTTTTTTTTTTTTTCATTTTTGTAGTAAATATTTCCAAACCATATTCGACAATTGTCATGCATTCAATAGATGAATGCATGCCGGCAAAAAGCTGGCTAGACCAAAGGCTGGTCGTTGCAGTCATATCCCACCCTATATTCAAGGCATGCTCAGCTATTGTTTCCATGTTGTTCTGGAATTCTTACCATTATCTGCCATCTTAAATAACATTTTTTGCACCATTTCTAGAACTCTTCATGCTTTTGTCTCTTAGTAACTTTTTCTGAAAGTTGCATAATTATCTTTTTTGTTATTTTAGCCTGAATGAATTATATTGCATATTGGAAGCAGTAAATTATCTTATCAGTGCAATGAAGATAGTCAAGATGTATCAATATATATTTTTGAAACTATAATTATTTATTAAATGCACTGTTTGAACCATCTTAAGTAATCCGGTTTTACTTTTGTTGTAGATTGGTTTGGAAGGAGAGCATCTCAAAATTTACAGTAATGGTATTGATAACGTTAAGTGGATTACCCCATCTTTGCTGCCGAAGGATCAAGCATTGACATGGTACAAGGTATTGTATAGTCCTTTCTTTGAATATCGCTGGTTCATCTTGAATTTTATGCCAACCTAATGGGACTTGTTAAAAGACAATATTGAAGGAGTTGCTTTGCTTTGTTTAAAATATAATTTCCACTTTGTTGATATAGTGGTTCAAAGTTAATTGTTTATTCCCACAGCTATGTTGTATTGACGCCATATTAATATTACCATGTTAGAAGTCCAGCACCTATGATTAGTGGAAGTTAACTTTATTTGTTCCTGGTTTACATTGGGCTGAACTTTTCAGGTCAATATGGATGCCCCGAAAGGTACTGAGCCTGTAGGGCTTGATATGAAATATATGGGGAAAGGCCAGGCTTGGCTGAATGGATTTGCAATTGGAAGATACTGGTCTAGGAAAAGTTCTTTAAATGATAAATGTAGTTCCAGCTGCAACTACAAGGGCAAATTCTTCCCTGACAAATGCAGAACAGGATGTGGGGAGCCAACGCAGAGATGGTAATTTTGGGGCTCTTTGAGATCAGTTTCAAAATTTTCCTTTTTTTTTTAATTTTTATTTTTCTCCTAAAAAATTTATCTTTTTTTTTTGGATATTTTTTCATGCATTTATAATTTTCAATAGAAAAGCCCATCAGTTGGACCTAGTTTCCAAATAAAGGGGTGAGTCACAGCAATTTCTCAAGAACAATCCGATTTTCAGTGATTCAAACCTTCTTTTCTCTTTGCTGTTCCAAGAAATTAAACAAACCACCACCTATTTTTAGATAGTTGCAATCTCTTTTTCCCTGTCGAGATTGAGGTGACTGATCCTGCACATGGGTTGACTAACCCACCACCACCACCATCTGCTAGTTGGCAACTATTATCTTTTTTATCAGCTGCATAAGCAACAAGTACCAATGACATGAATCAATGGCCGAGTCCCTTACATTGGGTGTCGGTCAACTTTTTTTCGATTAGATTAATTATGAAAATATGGTATATGACCGTTGCGACATTAGAGGTGTGCAGTGTGCAGTCTGGATGGGCCTTGAAATTCTTGCTTCTGCCATCATGTAGACGGGAGCTTGGGATTCCGCTCTTGTTGCCTCCCGGAGCTCCTGTTGCGCTCTTGTAACATTGACTAAAATTCCTTCTTCATCAACATTCGCCAGAAGACTCAATGGAGGCGGGAGTTAGTATCCCGGGGAATAAGGGAGACAGATGAGTCAGCAGTGGGTGAGAGAAAAAGTTTCCAAATACTAAAAACAACTCAAAATATTTTTTGTGTTGCCTAAAAAATTAGATTTTGTCGTCTTTCTAACTTTTTTATGGAACCATAAGCAAACTTTACAAACTAAAATGATCTCAAAAGCTAAACTCATAGAACATACATAAACTATAACTGCTGAGGTGCTTCTAAAATGTATTAGTTAGTTCACGTCCATTTATAAGCATCCCGACAGTTTTTATTCATTGAATCGTTGGGTTAAGCAAATATCATTATTCTTTTGATGCTAATATTTTCTGTTCGCTTGTCTCAGTTTGGCGCATCAAAAAAAATGTACTTTAGCATGAACATCTAGCTTTCGAGTTTGATTCTCTTTAATCACTCATGGAACCCAAGTAAATTGTTGATTACATCAACTAGAAGAAACTCTTCAGTGAATAGTTTCATATAAAGTTTTTCCCCAAGTGACAACCTTTAAACTGTGCTCTTAGACTGGCTACTATTGGAACATATCATCGAATGCATCAGCACAATCCCGTGACGTGATTTAAATAAAATAATTTAAAATTTAAGCAACTGTTTTGAATGGCTTGTGATTGGTTGTACTTCCAAAGTCAAATAGGCATGTGCTTAAGGGCATGTGTTAGATTAGGAATTAGTTTCTGGGCCACAACCTAAATGTTCAAGTCTTTAGGTGGATTTTTTTGCTAGTTAGCAACTACTCGCTTTTTTAGTGGGAATAGGTATGTTTAAAAATCATTATCTTTGCTTCTTTCTCAATGCTTCGCTAAAAATAAATTAGGTGAAGGGAAATTACCTAAGGTTGAACTGTCATTCAATTGTCATAAATTTATTTTGGTTCCTCCAGATAGAACCTTTGTTTTCCTCTCTTTTCTGAGTTTTATGCTGTTTCTTCTACCTTTTTTTATTCGCTTTTCTTTTATAATGTCTTTGTCAAAATTTTGAAATCAGTTTAGGAGTCCTGAAAGTTTTCGCTCCACATGAAGCACTTCCAGACACTCCACTCCAATTAAAGCGCTATCAATTCAAGGTTCTCTCCAACTGCTATTTTGCACAATTACAACAATTCAAACACTCGAGTAACCTGTTAGCATGTAATGTGCCAGCTGTAGCCCACCGGCTGTGCCTCAGCCTGTTTGTAGCCTGCAGGATTGCCAGTTGTTGCTTCTACTAGCCTTGAAGCCGCCAACTGCCACTTCTCCATTTACTGTCTGCCAACTTGTCTATTGTTGAGGAAAGAAATTCTTTCTTGTATTCATTCTTCAATTTAAATAATTCAATAAATTTGATTATTATTTTTCATTTTTTATCAGTCTGTCTATGGTCTGATTGACGCGGGGCTTTGGAGGCATGCTGAACCGGCTTGTTGGATGGCCGGCTAGACCGGCCAGGATAGATCCCGGTCCATCACCACCCCCCCCCCCCCCCCCCCCCTCACCCCGCCATCTCCG